TAACCGATTTTTTTTTTTTAATAAAATGGATTTGTAAGGTATCAAGAAAATATCAGTTTATTTTTTATTTTTGTTAAATTATTCAACGGAACATACCATCAACCACACTGGAAGATAACGTATGCTCCTACAAAGACCAAATTTTGAAATATTAAAAATAATATTTAAATAAAAAGGGTGTGTAAGAAGTTATACTACTAATATTTCTTTTCTATTCTATTTTTTAAGGCTATCTTGATTAATTTGACAAAAATAAAAAATAAACTGATATTTTCTTGATACCTATTTACAACCCATTTTATTTTTAAAAAATCGATTAAATAGACGATAGAAGACCACATATAAAACTATAAAAAAATGTACAGGGTGCCATTAAAAAAATTAAGTTAGGGGTTGTAACTAAGGGATGAATATTTAGGGGATGATTTTTTCTTCGCTATGTTAAAGTGTATTACAAATGGAATATAACAGTTTTTGTTCCTTTAAAAAATCTCTATTTTGTTAATAAATATAGCCTGGATAATTTAGTCTGGGACACTTAATTAACAAAAATAAAAAATTAATTGATTTTTTGATTATTTATAAACCGATTTTATGTTTAATAAATCTGTTGAATAGACGATAGAAGACCACATCCAAAACTATAAAAAAATATACTGGGTGCTATTAACAAAATTAAAGTTAGGGGTTGTAAATAAGGGATGAATATTTAGGGGATGATTTTTTTCTACGCCATATTAAAGTGTATTACAAATAGAATAGACCACTTTTTGTCCCATTCGAAAATCTCTATTCGTGAGATATAGCGTGGGTAAATTAGTCTGGGACACCCTGTATGTAAATAGATATATTTGAGATGTACTACTGGAGAAGAATGCTGAGAACACCATGGGTGGCTCGAAGAATAAATGAATCTATACTGAACCATCTAAACTTAAATAACGACTAAGAACACAAATCTCAGAACAAATATTAGGCTATTTTGGACAAGTGCTTCGAAGAAATGTTCTTGAAAAACTTACCATCCAGTGAAAGGTAGAAGGCAAAAGAAGTTGAGGTAGACCTCCCATTCGATACACGGAATGCTACTATTGGCGCTCCATTGTCAAAATGTGGTAGAAGGCACAAGATAGAAAGAGGCGGAGAAACATTGGAAAAATTAACTAATAGCTTCATGATATCACGATGTCTGCATCAGGTTAACGGCTAAGAAGAACTGAAAATAACCACGTCTGGTAGTCTTTGTAGTATCTGGTTTTGTCCACTTTTTTTGTTTTTCTCTTCCCCTAGTAATTATTTTGCAGCTCTGTAAATGGCTTCCTTTAACCGCTCGTTAAAGTCTACGCGTTTCCTTCTTCAATATTATTTATTTTTGCAGCCAGTCTCCATTCATAAAGAAATTGTACTGTCTCTTCCGGATAGAATCCGGAATGGGAATCCCATACTTTTCTGTTTTTTCTTTCATGAAGACTTTGAAAGGACACCTCCCTATAAACAGAAATATCTCTAAGTGGTGCAAATTTATCCTTCTTCGTCGTTTTTCCCTTGTCTCTCTTTAATCACATCGCAAAACTTTTAACAAATCTACTAATCTGTTTCTGCTCATGGTACCGACGTAGATGGTCCTGCCAAATGCTTTTGACTACAAATCATGGCAGTTCAGCTTAGTATCCACATTTACACCCAGCAGAATTAAAATAGCAGTAAAAGTCATTAATTCAGATTTGTCGATTTTCTCCATCTTCTTCCTTTCAGCCTCTTCATTCGTGTGGCGGATATTTACTTCGATTATTTCATCGTGGAGAAATTTTAAAAGTGACTCTGTAATAGACGTAACGATACCTACCTTACGAAGATCTTCTCGTTCGCGTAAGATGTTCTGCTTCGATCGTCTATTAATTTTTGGAGGGCGAGCCAGGTATGCTTTATCTGTTTTGCTCACATACTGATGCACATGAGTTACATCCGAGTTGTCGTTCTGAGAATCATCAATTTAAAAATCTTCATTGTTAAAAATCTTCATTGCGAGGATCTGGTAAAATACAATCTTCTGTTTCGCTTACATCGGAATAATTATCGTCATACTCAATATCTAAATCACTAGCACTATTGTGTATCTTCTCTATTTCTAATTTCAACTCACGTTCTGATAAATACATACTGATTTTAAATCAATTTCGTACACTACTTCTCCTAGCTCAACGTAATTATACACAAGCAGAAACAGCATTCTACGCATTTCTACAGAACAAAGAAGCTAAGTCCAAGATGCGCGCGACAACTGCAATTCTAACGGAGACGACTCCAATTCTTTTAAAAGGGGAGACAACTCTCAAGAAATTCCTGCCAACTAGAAATTATATAGAAACCTTTAGTAACAAGTTTTATTAAGAGTGAACATTTTGTGCCCACCTACATTTAACTCAAGATATTACTTTTATTTTCAAAAATATCGATAGAACCAAATTAACATTCGATAAAGGGCCGTCTAGTGCTAGTGGCTGACGTGAAAATAAAATTAAAAATAATTGAGCTCAGAAAACAACAACCAAAAATTAACGTAAGAATGCTACAAAACGAAGAAATAAAAAACGAAATAAAAAATAATGTGAATGTTAATATGCAAAAAACACTAACTGACAACAAACAAATTATGGATGTAAATAAAAAGTGGTGTAATATAAAAAACTCATTACTGAAACCAGCCCAAGAAAGTTTAATAGAACATAAATCAGAGGCTAAAAAACACTGGATGACAGAAGAAATACTATTACTGATGGAAGAAAGAAGGAAATATAAAGGAAAAGATCTACAGAAGTATAAAGAAATACAACGAATAATTAAGGAAAAAATCAAAACAGCTAAGGAAATCTATTTGATGAAGCAATGTAAAGAGATAGAAGAACTAGAAACAAAATATGATATGAGAAATATGCACAAAAAAATTAGAGAAGTGACTGGAATGGGTCTAAATAGACAGCAAGGACACATAAAAGACAAAAAAGGAGTACTACTAGTAGATTTACCAGAGAAGTTAAGGCGATGGGAGGAGTACGTTAGAGAACTTTTCCAAGATGAAAGAGGTGAAATGCAGAAAATACAAGAATTAAATCCTTTAGAGATACAGAAGATCACGATAGATGAAATCAAATATGCTATCAAAAACTCTAAAGACAATAAGGCAGCTGGATTAGATGAAATACCAGTAGAACTCTTAAAACTAGTGGAAGAGGACAACTTGGAAGTATTGGCAGATTTATTCAACACGGTGTACGATACGGGAATAATACCACAGGAGTGGCTAAAGTCAGCATTTATAACCATCCCTAAAAAACAAGCAGCAAAAGAGTGCTCTGATTATCGAACACTGAGCCTCATGAGTCATACTTTAAAAGTTCTGCTAAAAATAATACATAAGAGAATATACGAAAGGCTAGAGGAGGATATTAGCGAGACACAGTTCGAGTTCCGAAATGGAATGGGTACTCGAGAAGGACTATTTGCCATCAACATATTAATTCAGCTATGTCGGGATGTGAATGTTGATCTACACTTGTGCTTCGTTGACTACGAAAAAGCTTTCGATAAAGTAAGACATGAAAAACTAATATCAATACTTATGAACAAGCGCATTGACAGTAAAATCATAAATATAGTGCAAAAATTATATTGGAACCAAAGTGCCATAGTTCAAATTGATGGGCAACACTCAGAAGAAATGAGGATCTGTAGAGGAGTTAGACAGGGATGTGTGTTATCACCACTTTTGTTTAACTTATATTCTGAAGAAATTTTACAAAACACGCTCAATAATATCGAAGCGGGAGTCACCGTTAACGGAAAATTAATTAATAATTTAAGATATGCAGACGACACTGTGATCATAGCAACGAGTATAGAGGATCTACAACATCTTATCGAAAGCTTGAGTATAAATAGTGCTGAGATGGGAATTACTATAAACGCCAAAAAAACGAAGTACATGCTGATTACAAAAAGGCCACAAAATATACATCACCTATTGACAATAAATGGTAACGTGATAGAACAAGTAGAAAAATATCAGTATTTGGGAACTTTGATCAATGAAACCAATGATCATACTGTAGAAATAAACAGACGAATAGAGATTGCCAGATCAGCATTTATACGAATGAAGCCACTCCTAACGTGCAAAAATCTAAATTTGGAGATCAGACTACATACCATTCGCTGTTATATATTTTCAATATTATTATATGGAGCTGAGACTTGGACATTAAAAAAATGTAATTTAAAAAGAATCGAGGCCTTCGAACTCTGGTTATACCGCAGAGTATTGAAAATATCATGGACTGATAGAATTACAAATAAAGAAGTACTGGAGAGGGTTGGTAAAGAAACAGAACTAATCACCACTATACAAACCAGAAAACTGGAATACCTAGGCCACGTGATGAGGGGACCAAAATATGAAATTTTGAGACTGATAATACAGGGAAAGATTCAAGGAAGAAGATCTGTTGGCCGAAGGCAGAACTCATGGTTAAAGAATCTACGTGATTGGTACCAATGCAGATCGATTGATTTGTTTAGAGCAGCAAGTTCTAAAATAAAAATAGCCATTATGATTGCCAACCTCCGTAGGGAGACGGCACTCTAAGAAGAAAGGGCCGTCATTTTGACATTAAATAATTTTTGAAAAATTTTGGAACACGTAATAAATATGTTGCAAGGTAATACGCATTAGGTGGGCCTTTTTTATTCACCAATTTGAATTACATAGTCAATGATGCTTTTCTGATTTCTTTGTGGTTGATAGCATGTATATTTATGAATAAATTTGTTTGGGAAGAAACCGTTCTATAATTTTTAAGGAGACATAAATCTATCAATCTTTGACCTCTATCATTTTTAGTATCTTCTCCATATTTCCTGTGCTGTTTTTTATGTTTTGAGATCAAAAAGCATCATAATATAAGTTTTTCGAATAATAATTTATTATTTTCTATTTTTCTTAGATTTAGTTTTATAGCTCCGTGCCTATTGGAAAACGGAAATGTGCCAAAGAAAATGGAAACCCCAGTAAATTCAGTAAGAACAAGTGATCGAAATTTCTTTGATGATTACGTTCTATTAGACGTTATCGGAGGAGGTAGTTATAGCGTTTGTAAATTAGGTAGACATAAAACCACCGGACATCAATATGCTGTTAAGGTAAGGAAACATTGTTAAATTTATTTTTTTTTCTTTTTGCGGTACATTGTGTATTAATCAAAATCTGGAGTTTTAGCTCTATGGGATGAGATCCGCAGGTTAGAGTTTTGTAGAACAATTTTTTTTTAATACTGAACAAAGTTTTTTATTTTACATTATTTATATCTAATATAATCCTAATGATTTGCTTGACTTCGTTTTGATAAATTTCTACTGTTAGAACTACATCATACATTGTCGTCGTGTGTTGTTAGATTGGACCTAATACGCATTTCTGCGCGCATCGCCCCACCATTTGACAGTTCTAATAATTGCTATTGTCTGTTGTACTGAAAGTGTCCATTGTTGCATACCATAGTTTTAGAAACATATAAAATGCGACACTTTCAGACAATGGCTCCCAGTTATCAGACTAGTAGGCTAGTGCTAGTAGTAGTAGTAGATCGACAGCGGAGGTCGAACAGTGCAGACCTGCTTTGGCAGGAACGAGCATCAAGGTGAATAGTTCTTACCAGAACTAAGCATCGCAGACGATTCGTGAACCTTGTTGTATTGTGAATAACAAAGCGAAGATTTGCAACGCGTAGAGGCAAAAGCGTAAATTCGGATGTGATTGAACCGAGAGGATTTGATTTTATTGAATCCTGTGAGATAAATAATAAAGAATTTTAGAATCTGTATCGGGCAGCAACCGCCCCAGAGCGAGTGAGATGTGAACTTCATAAGGATTCCTCTCTGGTTCTGACCTAGAGAGTGACCAACCACGAAAAGTACCAGAAGCCGACAGGCAGTTAAGGACCCTTCCTCCCTTCCCCCAACATGCTTGATCGTTCTCGATAACCACCCTGTCGTAAAGCAAATCCAAACCCCGATGGTAGTTTGTGCATAACAAACTACAACATTTTTGACACACTCCCACACGATCGATACGAGACCACAGACGAGATGGCAAACAGAAGAGGAGACAGGACGAAGGGGACTTCAAACGCCCAAAAAACAAGAAGGCCAGGAGAAAAGAAAAAGCGGACATCAAGCCAAAGGAAAACTCAACAGACGACGAGACGTCTAAGAGATCGACAACTGCAAAGCGCTAAAGGCATAGCAGCGAGAACGAAAAGTCCGAGCTAACAACTTTGAAAATGCTCTTGAAGGAAAACGACGAGGAAATCACGTTACTGAGGCAAAAAGTCTCAGTTCTACAAGCCCAGATGGTGGAATCCCAGCAGGCCATCATAGGGCATATTAACAACAAATTTGAAGAACTTAAAACGGCTCCGAAAGAGAGCTATACAGAGGACACCTGGGACAACCAGGTCAAAAAAGCTGCAAAGCTCACCAATACGGAGAGGTCTACGGGAACAATCTCAAAGACTAAAATTCCCACACCAGCAGAAAAGCCGAAACAGACAATAAAGGGTCAATAAATAAAGGAGCCCAAAACAGGGAAAAAGACGAAATGAACAAAAGAAAACTTTCCGCCATTAGCGTCGCCAGTGCAATAGGGAAATGATGCACGTGCCTCACCACGCCCTCCGACACCGTGTCAAGTGCAAACTATGGAATCAAACGATGACAAAACAACCCAAAACCCAAAAGCCGGAATAACAGGCAAATCACACAATCTGGAAGCCAAAGCCAACTGTAATTAAATTACAGAGTGGGTGCAAAACAGGAGCGATCCTAGACATCGCACAGAAGAAAAAAGTAATAACTATTAATAAGTTATGAAGAAGCCGACGAGAGATACTCATCCAGGCTAAAAACCCGGATGACTATAGGACAATGGTTAAACTCATCGAAGAGTTTAACAAATCAAAACCGATACAATGGATAGCCTTTCCCCTAGAGGAAGACATAAAACGAAAAATAGTTTTGACAGGTCTATCCTCCAACACAAAGGCCACCGACATATATGATAACCTGAAACAGGAATATAATATTGACTGTGAATCAGTCAAAAATATGACATCAAGGAAAAGCGGTAGGAGGAAGCTAATAATGTTTGTACTGACACTGGAGAAAGAGGATGTGATCACAAACCTGATGCACATGAAGATACAGATAGAGGACCTAAGAAAATCAACTGGGTCCACACAGTGCTTCAACTGCCACCGGTACCACCTTGCGCAGAAAGCGTGCTTTAAGGCACCAAAATGTGTAAAGTGCGGCGAGGACCACCCTAGTAAGAAATGCCACATGCACCGCGATCAAAAGGCGAAGTGCGCCAACTGACAGGGACAACATCCGGCAAACTTCAGAGGATGTCCCAGATGTCTTACCTCGGGAAGACAACAACAACAGGACAACAAGCCTGTTGTAAGAGTCGCAGAGAAGGCCACAACAACAGACAAACGGACCGTCCTACGCACATGCAACAAAAGCACCACACTCCGAGAAGAATACAGGAAACAAGGCTCACGAACAACATCAACATAAAGTTTCCTGGCTACGACATATATAGCAACGACAATACAGGAAGGAGGGACAGCAATTCTAGAGAAGGAAGGAATCAGACATATCAGAATCCTGACACCAAAGCTCAAAAACATGGAAACTACAACAATTAGAATACAAATTACAGTACTCAGGATGGTACTGGTACTGAGCAATAACTCAGAATTACCTCCACCTACGTAAGACCTCAGGATATAAGGATCGAAGAAGACTTGAATATGTTCCTAAATATAGACAAAACCTTAATTATAATAGGAGACCTAAACGCAAGATCCCCTAATTGGAATGATAGAGCTACGAAAAGAAACGAAATACTATTAAACCAATACATAGAATACCGACTATACCATAGCAATACCGACCCAATACATTATCCAGGAAATGGACTTCCCACTCACATAGATATTGTAGTCACTATAAACCTAGGACTTCAAACAGAAATCCAAACATTAAACAAAGATACAGCGGACCTCAACCCTATCCTATTAGATCTAGGAACTTGGAAGGAAGAAAGTACGATTAAAAAAATCAAAAGAAAAACAAAGTGGACAAACTTCAAGAGACTTTTGAGCACTGGTATAAATATCGTCCCAGTGATAGACAACCCACAAGATATAGAGGATTGAGTCCTATAGTTTGAAAATATCATTCAACGGGCACTACAGAAGGGAACTAGAGATACACACGAGAAGATTTAAAAACATACCACAGGAAATAATGGACTTAATAATAGAGCCAAGTAAACAGCGAGAAGGACAATTAACCAGGTGGACAAAAACATGGCAAACAGACTAAATAGAGAGGCAAAAACAGCACTAGAATAATACCGTCGTCAAAACTGGCAAAACCACAATCGAGACATGGAAAAACAAGGCCCAAATATGCAAAATATTTGGAAGCTCGGTAGAAACTATGGAATGAAACTTAATAATAAGAAGACGAAAATTATTATCATAAGCAAAAACCAAGATACAGATGCAAAGCTTATGGCAGACAATGAGGTGTTGGATAGAACAGAAAAAATAACATACCCAGGATGCAACATCACAGACAGCTGGGATCACTCATACGAGATTAAATGTAGGATCGAAAAAGTAAGGAGTGCCTTCCAACAGATAAAGAAAGTTCTCTGCAATTTAACCTTGAACTTACATCTCCGACTTAAAATCCTTAATTGTTATGTATTTTCTGTTCTTATCTATGGAGCATAGGCAGACACTCACTGATGCAGACGGTTGCAGTCTTTCGAGATGTGGTGCCATTGTCGCATGCTCAGAATATCATATGTACATCATATAACTAACGACGCAGTAATGCAACGTTTACAAAAAGTACCTGAAGCCTTCTTCTTCTTCTTCTTCACGTGCCATTTCCTCTAAGGCTTTCAATCTGTCCGAAACATCTTTCTTTAAAGTACAAGCCTCCAACCCATAAAGTAATACGGAGAACACGTAGCATCTCAGAAGTCTTATCTTTAAAGAAATTGAAATGTCCCTGCTCTAGAGTACTTTTTTCAGTTTGTTGAAAGAATTTCTTGCCTGTCCTATTCTTGCCTTGATCTCTTCTGTGTACTCATTATTTTAATTAATTATTGTACCCAGATATTTATATTTTTCAACCATTTACCATTTACTACCTGAAGCCTTGAAATCCATTAAAGAGAGAAAGTTAGCATACTTCGGACATATAGTGAGAAATGAAAATAAATACTGAATCCTACTTAGAAGGGAAAAAGCAGGAAATAGAGGACCAGGACGCCGCGGAATATCCTGGTTTAAGAATTTGAGACAGTGGACAGGTATGACCACCACAGACCTATTTCGAACAGCTGCTAATAAAATACAATGGGCCCTTGTGGTAGCCAACATCCATAGAGGATAGGCACTAGCAGAAGAAGAAGAAGAAAGAATACTCAGAAAGGATAGAAAACCAATCCCTCCAATACTCGGAGAAAAGTGTAATGAAATATAAATATATTTTTTTAGAAATATATTTTTAGTAAATATTTTATACAAGATCAAGAATTCAATTTTATATCAAAATGTCATGTTTGAAAATCCAAAATTTTTTTAACGAAATAAATATAAAAAACAATAAAAAATCAAAAATTTTCAAGCTTTTGTATTTTTTTTTAATTTTGTAATGATTTTTGTTGTGTATATATATATATATATATATATATATATATTTTTTATTTTTAGATAATAAAAAAAACCCTATTTGACTGCCGAGAAGAGGTTGAAATTTTATTAAGATATGGTAAACATCCTGGTATAGTAACGTTAAAAACAGTATATGAAGATGTAACTTCAATTTATTTAGTACTTCAATTGCTTAAAGGAGGCGATTTATTAGATTGTATGATGACGAAAGTGAGTATGTTTTAGATTATTTCTTTTGTATCAGATATAAAACTATGTGTAATTGAATGTCCAAGTGAATGAAGCGGTTATGTTAACAAAAACTATTTTTTTAGTATCTTAGTTTGAGTATTTTGTATATCTTTGGTGTTCATTAAGTATGGCACAAAAAGTAAAAATCGGATCACCCTGAACACGTGATCATGCTTTTGAAACGGAGGAGTGGGAGATTAAAGCAATCGATGTAAAGACGGCACCACTGCCAGCGCTTGTCGCTGGATTGTCATCTCTACGGCGTCACGTCTACGGCAGTAATTAGTGCGTGAGTGATTTTTTATTCCATATACCTACCAACATACACGTACCTTTCGCTCATGCTCGTTTTGTTGGATTGTTTGTGATGGCTTCATCATCAACATCATCAAGTTTTACACCGGTACTGTTACGTACAGTCAGTAAGTCTGTCTATTCACCAAGATAGAAGACTATTCTCCTGAATTTTCACGATGCTCTGGTTTCTCAGAATCCTCGAAACATAGTCGAAAGTTGTGCCAACATGACTGGCGTAGGGGAGTCAACTATATATAGGTTCCTGTCAGAAAGAAGAAAACACGGTATAGCTAACCCAAACTCAAACGAACACTTAAAGAGAGGGAAAAAACCTATTGAAGTAGATGAATTTGCAAATAATGGTATTCGAAGGAAAATTCATGGATTTTTTTTTAAGAAATACCAAACCTAAACAAAATTTTACAAGAAGTTAGAGACGACCCGGATTTGCCTCATATCGGACGAACCAAATTGTGGCAAGTTTTAAAAGAATTAAATTTCCGGTGGGAGAAATCAGACCGAAAATCACTTTTGATTGACCGGGAGGAGATACGTGGAAAACTGTGGTCATACTCTAAAAAAAATTTGGTCAGATAAAAATATATTAAGCTCCAGACCAGCCTTTATGGAAGTTTGGTCTACTGGTATCTCCCCACCTTCTGATAAAGGCAGTAGATTAACGATTTCTCACATTGGCAGTGAAAAAGGATTTGTTACGCATGGTTTGTCGGAATTTCATTCCAAAAGTACAAAAGACTATCACGAGGAGATGACAGCTGATGTTTTCGAAGAGTATTTTGAACAGATAATTGAACACATACCACCAAATTCAATTATAGCATTAGATAATCCCACCTTATCATTCACGACTAGTAGAAAGACTTCCAACTACTGCGTGGAAGAAACAGGATATTCTTAACTGGCTGCGGAATATCTGCCTTACGAAGATGGAATGGTAAAAGCAGAACTTTTAAAAATTGTCCGGCAACGCAAATCGAAGTTCAACAAATACGTAGTTGACAAAATGACGGAAAGGCGAAACATCACAGTCCTTAGACTTCCACCCTACCACTGCGAAATAAGTCCAATTGAACTCATTTGGGCACAAATGGAAAGTTATGTGGCTAGAAAAAATACGTCATATAAAATACAAGCTGTACGTGAATTGTTGTACGAGTCTTTACAACCTATTACAGAGCAAAACTGGAAATATGCAGTAAGATATGTAATAGAAGAATAACAAAAAATGTGGGATCTTGATAACATAATTGATGCGACCGTAGAGACACAACCGGTAATTAATAACCCTCAAGACGACTCGGATTCCGAAGTTGATCCTATTTATTTTGAATTTGAATAGTTTTCTAATTGTAATTATATAAGGTAAGTAATAGTAGTTGTAATCGTAAGGTATTAAAGGGGAAAGGCGCAAAATGTCGCCTGTCAAAATGTTCAATGTGTTTTAAATGTATCCATTTTTTTCAAATCCTGAGAAAACTAAAATGCATTTTTGAAAAATTTAAAGGTAGAATGAAACATTTATTAGAATAAATAAAAAGTTTCTTTTGCATGCAATATTTTCAATTAAATATTATACTATATTTTCTCTTTTATTTTCACCCCTGTTACATAACATATTAAAATAAACATTGTAGAAGTTTTCAGGGACTTTCTGCCCTCAGGAATAATGTAATCTTTCATTCTGCGTTTAAATTTTTAAAAAATATTTTTTAGTTTTCTCCGGATTCGAAAATAATGGATACATTTAAAACACATTGAAAATTTTGCCAAGCGACATTTGGCGCCTCTCCCCTTAATTAAATAAATGTATCTTTTACGAATGGCAAGAAACTTTTTATTTTTGAATAAAATAAAGAAGTTTTATTAAAACAAAAAGACAATTTAAAAAATATATTTATTTAGTTCAAATAAATGTTTCAATCATATACTCTACGATACTGGTCGGTCATCTGTAACCAAAATACCTTTGTAATCGGATTATAAGATTGACCGCTGTATTGTATTCCTGCAGATATAAGGTGGGTTAGTCGAAAACATCTTAAACCGTCAGTTTCAGGTTGGTTTTTACTATTATATCGTATTACCTATCATCTCTGTATTTCAGTTTTCTAATTAGGATTAAACTTGTAGTGAGCTATCGACAAATTGTGAACCGAGTATAGTATCGTGGGTATATATATATATATATATATATATATATATATATATATATATATATATATATATATATATATATGTTAGTATCGTTATATATAACTTGATTAAGCTTGGGTATACAGTTTACTTCAATTGCTATCGACGTATTTAGCTTCATCTTTCCTCACTAGAGGTCTCTAGTAGCATACTTCAGTAGTTATTTTCCTGTAATTGCCAGAGTAGTCGTGTGCGTTTTGATTTAGTTTGAGTCTTCTTACAAACTCCTTCTGATGACGGGTAGACCCAGAAACACGTGTCTGGGAGTGGTAAGAGATTCAAAATAAATCGAAACGCAACCTTCTTCGTATATTTATCGTCCTTACTCGACGCAATGAGTACAAGAATGATGGTAATTTATATGGGTAAATTGTTGGTGCATAGTGGAATATAATTATTCCCAGTCTGGTAGTTATTTTCCTGTAATTGCCAGAGTAGTCGTGTGCGTTTTGATTTAGTTTGAGTCTTCTTACAAACTCCTTCTGATGACGGGTAGACCCAGAAACACGTGTCAAGGAGTGGAAAGAGACTCAAATTATATCGAAACACAACCTTCTTCGTATGTATATATATATATATATATATATATATATATATATATATATATATATATATATATATATATATATATATATATATATATATATATATATCGAATGTTGTTTCATAGTTAAATTAGGCATAATTACAAATATGTAAAATGCGAAGTATTGCGAAGTGATAATAATTTTGGTAGCTATAAACTTACTTCTACTGGGCTGTATTCACTATTTTTTTATTGTTAATAAGAAATTGTTAAAATCACTTAAAATAATCGTAGTATCTCTTGTTTTAGAAACGGCTCACCGAATTTGAAGCTGCTGCCATATTAAAAACTCTAGCTACAACAATCGCGTACTTACATGAAAACGGTGTAGTTCATAGAGATTTAAAGCCTGCAAATATTCTTTTTGCTTCAGAAGACTTCTCTCCTGAAAGCGTTACGATCTGTGATATGGGTTTCGCCAAACAGGTTTGTATTGTTTGTATTAAGCACTCTAAACAACTGACTTTAATTATAATAAAGTGGTTATAATTGTGTAATTATATCATGTCAGATAAAAACTCACATATCAACCGGAGTACGTGATGATCCTCATCTAAAATATAGTAGGAGTCTGTTGCGACTTAGTAGGAGCGCAGTGGTTCTGTATTTCCTTCTTGAAAGTCTATAGCAAATGCAATCATCTATTTCAGCGGTTCTCAACCTGTGATACATGTACCTTCTTCTTCTTCTTTTTTTGCCACTCCTATCGGAGATTGGAAATCATCAAGGCTATTCTGACCTTGTTTACGGCTGACCTAAAGAGTTCATTAGTGATGCAGCCAAACCACTCCCTCAAATTCCGCAACCATGACATTCTTCTACGGCCTGGATTCCGTTTTCCTTCTATTTTTCCCTGCATTATATTTTGAAGTAATGCGTATTTATGTCCTCTCATCAGGTGACCAAAATATTCGAGTTTTCTTCGCTTTAGCGTTAACAAAATCTCTGGGTCTTTTCCTATTCTTCGTATTACTTCACAGTTTGTTATTCTTTCAACCCAACTAATCTTCAGCATTCGACGGTAGCACCACATCTCGAAACTTTCAATATTTTTCATGTTGTTCTGTTTGAGAGTCCAGTCCTCTACACCGTATAATAGCGTGTTAAATACATAGCCTCTCAGCATTCTTAATCGTAGAGGGATGCTTATATTTCTGTTGCAGAAGAATTTTCTCATCTTTATGAAGGTGGCCCTGGCAATTTCGATACGTCTTTTTATTTCACTGTTTTGGTCTCCAGTTTCGTTTACACTGGTGTGCAACTCCTTATTTGCGGTGGTACGCAAAAACAGCGAAAATCAGTACCGCATAAAACAACACAAAAAAAATTAAAACAGTAATTTACGTTACAAGTGCAGTAGGTAACTTTAAAACTAAAATACGGGAGAATTGTAGAAATGCCGATCACGCCGGCAACACTCATTGTGAAATCGAGGAGTAGTCTCCAATTGCCTTTAGTAAGTTTAGTAGGTATTTGACTTGAGTATAGTACACACAATTGAGTCTACGTTAGTCGCGTACCTTGTTATTGTAATTATAAAGTAATGGATAAATAGATAGACAGATATATAGTTTATTTGACGGTAAGTTACAACAAGGTTTACAGCAAGTCAAAACTAAAATTATAAATATTAAACATTACAAAACAATGGAAACAATACATTATTCACATAATTAATATCCACCTAATGTATCAGGACACATGGTCACTAGGTACTCTTTGACTTGGTTTTTAAAAGCTGTAGTTGAATTAATGTTTTTAAATTTTTAAGGAGGTTGATTCTTCTTCTTCTCGTGCCACTCCTAGCGGAGATTGGAAATCATCATGGCCACTGCGACTTTGTTAGCAGCGCGCCTGAAAAGTTCAATCGAACTACACCCGAACCATTCACGTAGATTACGAAGCCACGATATTTTTCTTCTTCCCACACTTCTTTTGCCCTTAATTTTGCCCTGCATGATGTTTCTTAAAAGTTCGTACTTTTCACCTCTCACAATGTTGAAACTAAACAAGTGTGTGAATTGACAAAGTTCAGAAGAACTTAAAAGAGAAGTGATAAAAAAAAATACTAAAAATAGGGCTAAGCTCAGAGGAACAAATTTAAATGGCCAAAGAGACACTAAATCTCAAGTGAGTGTTCGGGCTAGCTTCAATGCACTGGATTGTGGCTTTAAAGATATAAACAACAATAACAAGAGATAATGAGCTAATGAGACAAGAAAGAAATGAGACCTGGTAATATCAAACGTGATACAACTAAAGAAAGTCACTGGGAATAAATTTATAGAAAGAGAACAATAGGAAGAGAAAAGAAGGGCGCCAACTCAACGATAGTTGAGATTTTGAAGTAACAAATGAATCTGGAGATAATACTCTGAAATACAAAAATACTAAATAATAATCTTGTTTTGCTATGTTATATACTGGTTAGTAGAACTGAAATAAAACTCAAAATAGCGACAATAATTATATTTTTATAAAAATGTATATAGGTATATGTGTATAAACAATTTACATATAATGCAAAGCCAAATAACAGTGGTAGTGGATTGTGTACAGATACAATAGGACCTAATAGCCCCTCAACAAACGAATAGTCACTACCACTGGCCAAATAAAATATGAAATATTAGTATACAACAAGAATAGTCCGTATTGTAGCCAAAGTCTTAACACAAAAAGGTAGTAATTTAAATTTAAATATTATATCAAAAGTGAGTTTGGTCAGTACTCTTAAAATCCTATTTAAAAAAAACTAATAAAAACAGGTAATATATTTTCCCTCTCCCAATAATATCAAAATTATATTATATCAAAATGTAGTTATCACAAAGGTATTTACCTTATCATATGCATATGTAAAGTTAACAGTAAATAGAAAGTAATACGTAATACAAAAAGTCAAATAGTTAAACAACTTATCTTTACAGCACTATAAGTCCATAGGAAAAACTCCTCTTGGCGCGGCTACATCAGTTTATGGCTGTAAAGACAAATCCTGGTCACAAAACCACAACCAGTCACTGGTCTCTGGGTGACAGCAAAATCCACGGGTTACAATCATAAAGTTGCTAACTAGTTTAAGGATTCAGTTACTTGAGTCCTTGAGGGAATATTCTGACGAGAATATCCTCAAGTAAAGTGAAATTAATATTTTCACGTGACGGAATCTAAAATTATTATTTAATTTAATAAATACAATTCGATAGGTGTAGCAGCATGGATTGACTGCACCAAAACAAAACATCAAAACATTTGGTATTAGGTTAAGTCAACATCATGTCAAATTTATGAAGTTACTTTCGTAGGCATGGCAAGCTTGCGCCATGAAAAGAACATGCGCAGAATATAGAAGGCTGTCCACATTTGTCGAACCTTTTTATATTCCACCAAAAAAGTTAGGTAAAAAAAAAGAACCAAAAAAACTTAATGATAAGATATGAAATAGATCGGAATTTAAGTTTGACTATATAAAAAAAATGACCTTCTGTTCTTTGCAAGTAAATCAAGGAAATTTTATATTTAAATTATTTCGGAACTCAAAACTAAATCTCTAAAGAAATACTAAACTGCAAGGATAAATTTGATTATATGATAAAGAGATAATACGTATGAAATGATTTACTTACATGGAGCTGCACCACGCCAAAAAAATCTTCCTTTTATGTGGAACTCATAAATGAATATTGATTTTATTATACAAAATTTACTTATTATTATTTTAATTAATGAATTATATTCTTCCCCAAATTATCTTCCTTGCTCCAATTCCGTCACTTTGAAGGTGAACAATTTCACCGGCTGACGTGGCTGCGTTTACGTTCTGACCAAAACTGATCGTTCGGCTTCCGCATAAAATCGATCTTCCTTTCAAAGCGATAACAGCGCGTAGGTGAAGGAATGTCGATTTAAAATCGATCGTAGGCGGGTAATAAAAATTTCTAAAGGGGTTAATCAATAGCGTAAACGCTACAATGTGCCCCAAGTATTCCATCTTTCTAGTTTTTATCTCATTTAGAATTTCGCATCTTTTGTCTAAAGTTTGGAGTACTTGCGTGTTAGTGACGCGGTCCATCCATGATATTCTGAGAATGCGCCTATAGCACCACATCTCGAAAGCTTCGATGTTTTTTATGGTCAACTGTTTTAGTGTCCAAGCCTCAACTCCATATAACAGGGTAGAAAAGACATAACACCGCAGCATTCGTATTCGTAACTTTATATTGATATCACGATTGCAAAAGAGTTTGCGCATTCTATGAAAGACTGATCTAGCGATTTCTATTCTACATCTAATCTCTTTTGTTTGATCAGTATCGTCTGTGATCCAAGCACCTAGATATTTATAACAGGGCACACGCTCAATCGTTGTATTGTCTATTACAAGATTAGCTCTGATGTTCTTTGATTTCGTGATTACCATAAATTTAGTTTTTTTCAAATTAATTTTCAAGCCGTAACTGTTACAGTATATATTGAGACTTTGAACGAGATGTTGTAGTTCTACTAGCGTTCCCGTTAGGAGAACTGTATCGTCAGCATACCTTATATTGTTGATCGTCTCACCATTTATTATCAGACCAAGATCTTCTTCCTCGAGTGCTTGTTCACAGATAGCTTCACTATACAGATTAAATAAAAGTGGCGATAAGCTACAGGTTGATTATACAGTAGTAAACCACAGACAGTAGATGACTTTATACTTACTTCTAAATGTCGATAGGGTACTACAAACTTTTTCTTATTTCTTGTGTTGTGTGAGTGAATATCACTGTTACATAAAAAAGTTCTTTTGTTTTTATGAATTAGTATCAATAATTCCAAAATGTAAATTCCATATACTTCTTCTTCTTTAAGTTCCATCTTCTATCGAAGGTTGGAAATCATCATGGCTATGCGGACTGTGTTGACTGCCGCTCTAAAAAGTTCTGCACTATTGCATTCAAACCATTCCCTTGAGTTCTTAAGTCAGGATATTCTTCGTCTTCCCACATTTCGCTTTCTTCGGATTTTGCCCTGCATAATAAGTTGTAATAATGCGTATTTTTGCCCTCTTATCACATGTCCTAAGTACTCAAGTTTTCGTCTTTTGATAGTTAATATTATTTCCGCCTCATTTCCTATCCTTCTAGTTACTTCCACGTTTGACATTCTTCTGTAACACCAAAATTCAAAGGCGGCCAACTTATTCAGATGGATTTGTTTTAGTGTCCACGCTTCCAAGCCATAAAGAAGAGTAGAGAACACGTAACATCGAAGCATTCTCAGGCGTAGTTCTAACCTTATAGCCCGACAACAAAGAAACTTTTTAAGTTTAATGAATGATGTACGTGCTATTTCAATACGTGTCTTAATTTCTTTAGTTTGGTCTACATCTGATGTTATCCATATTCCTAAATATTTATAGTTATTAACACTCTAAATTGCAGGATCTTCAATAGTCAATTGGATATTTGCATGTGCAGATTTAGTCATGATCATGGATTTAGTTTTCTTTAAATTTATCTTCACTCCATACTCATGACAGCGTTTATTAAGGCGTTGCATTACGTTCTGTAAATCATTGTTGTTATCCGTCATTATTACTCTATCGTTTGCAAAACATAAGATATTAAAAACTTCTCCATTGATAGATATACCTTCTATTGAGTTTTAGAGCGCTTCTTGAAATACCGCTTCACTGTAGGCATTGAAAAGTAGTGGGGACAGCACGCAACCCTGGCGGACTCCTCTCTGTATTTTGATATTTTGGGTGTACTGGCTGTCAACTCCTACCTTGGCAGTTTGATTCCAATATAAATTAGATATAATTTTCATATCACGACTGTCAATATTTTTAACCTTATCAAATGCGTTTTCAAAGTCTACAAAACATAAGTACATGTCCTGATTCATGTCCATGCATCTCTGAGCTAGCACATTCAAGCAGAACAAAGCATCTCTTGTACTCATAAAAGAAAAAAAAAATACCATTTCTAAATCCAAATTGTGTGTCACTAATTTCATATTCAAGAGTTTTAACAATTCTGCTGTGAATTATTTTCAAAAATGTTTTAAGAGTGTGACTCATTAAAGCTATCGTTCTGTGATTGTGCAAGTTGTTGTACTTGGCTTTTTGGGAATTGCTACAAAGGTCGATTGAAACCATTGTCTGGGGATTGTGACAGACTGATATATTAGATTAAAGAGTTCAATCATTACATCAATAACATCTTCATCGATGAGTTTTAATAATTCGGTGGGCACATCATCTGGCCCAGTAACTTTACCCTCTTTTGTGTTTCTGATGGCATAGATGACTTCTTCTCTTAATATTGGTGGTCCGGTATCTTCGGTGATTTCTAATGACAGTTCTTCTCTTTCATCATTAAATAGTTGTTGGATGTAATTGGTCAAGTGACATAATCTCTCCTTTGTCAGTAATAATATCCCCTCTATCATTTTTAAGGATATTCGTTCTTGTACGTTTTCTAGAACCTGTCATTTCTTTGATTTTTTTTGTGTAAATTAAAGCTATCATACTTTTTATCCAGATCTTCGATTTCCTTGCATCTGTCGGAGAGTCACCTCTCTTTTGCCTCTGGAATTTTCTTTCTGATGTTTCTCTGATTTTTTTTGTATTTATTCAGCTCGTTTTTTCTTCGTTCTGTTCTGTTTTCTTCGTTCTTTGCTATTCCATACACTGTTTAAATATATTTAAAGCCCTAAATAGGTTTTTACAAGACCAACTATACGGAACACCTGCAATACATCTGACAATACGCTTTTGGGCCTTGAAAACGTCCTTTATACTAGAAGAGCCACTCCAGACAGTTATACCGTAACTCAATTTCGATTATACCTCAGCAAAATAAAAAAGACGTAGATGTTGTAGACTAAGTATTTTACCCAAATTTCTCAATTGATAACATTTAGAATTGAGTTTTACATACATTCCAACAATGATTCTTAAAAGATAAATGAGAGTCGAAAGTCACTCCTAAAAACTTCACATCACTACAACTCAAAATACTCTCAACATTGATGAAAATACTTAAACAACTAGGTTTAGTAGAATTTGAACGAAATATAAATAATAAAAATTTAGTTTTGTGAACATTGAACAGGAGCGACTGATTACTGGACCAATCAGAGAAGGCCTTTAGTGATTTTGTTATTTTATTTTAAAACATTGATGTCTTTATCGCGGTATAGTATTGTTGAGTAATCCACATAAACTGATATAAATGCATTAGACATTACACATGGTAGTTCATTAATATACAAAATTAATATCGGGCCCAATATGGAGCCCTGTGGTACTCCATTCTTATTAACAATCGGATCAGACATTGAAATCTTGAATTTATTTTTCACTCCTTAAGTATTTGGTGCCGGTCTTTCAGATAGGAACCAAACCAACTATGGGCAACTTTCCTAACACCATATCTGTACAATCTATCGAGGAGTACATCGTGTTGCACACAATCAAAAGCACGACTGAAGTCACAAAAAATGCCAGTTAGATTTTCACTGTTTTTAATTGAGATTAAGAGTTCCTTATAGAAACTGTTAATGGCTGTGGACGTAGAAAATTTATTTCGAAATCCATGTTGATGTTTTGTGATAATTTGAAACAGACAATGGTCGAAAATTTGACATTAATTCAGGATTACCTTGTTTTATTACCGGTGAAATGATAGAAGTTTTCAGCATACTGGAAAAAACTCCAGTATTGAAAGAAGCATTTATAATGTGAGCAAGTGGTGTCAAAATCTGAGAGGCAATTTTCTTAATTACTATACCTCATATTTCATCAAAACCACAAGTTGCTTTGTTTTTAATTTTATATTTTATTATGTCTAAGATATCTTCCTCTGTTACATAAGATAGGAACAAACTATTTTGAACATAATCGTTGGAATTTTGAAAATTTAAATTTGGTTTAATTATTTCACTAATTAGATCTACTGGTGCATCTATAAAGTAATCATTAAATTTGTTTGATATTATATCTGAATCTGTAATCCTAGTATCACCTATTTAATTATAGTGATTTTTTTGTTTTCCATTAAGTTCATTCATAACAGCCCATGTGGTTTTGTTTTTGTTCAGGATTCAGAGATTTTGTTAAAATAAATCTGTTCCTTTGGCAATCTGTCAACGAGAACTTAGTGCTGATATTTTTTTTGTCTATATAGAGTTTTTATCTCAGAGTATGCCTTACTCAAAATATACAAATCCTTCAGACTATCTGAAGGAGATTTTATTTCTTGAAATGTTCTTGGAAATATTTTTAAAAAGTGAAACTGGAACAAACCATGAAGTGGAGATATCCAGGAGTAGCTAGTATACCTGTTGAATACAAAGCACGTGGTGTTCGTGTGTATTAAGGTATAAAAAAGCGCTTATAAAAAGCTTAAAATTTTTATTTTAAAGAATATCTTTTCGGAATGGTATCATTCCATCATCAGTTTACTAAAAGAGAGAGTAAAAATACCTTACCTTGGTATACCAAGTTATTTTACATCGCAGTCACTCATTGATTTACATTCTCCCACCTGTTTTTAAAATACCAAAAATTGCTAATGATCCTACTACACACAAAACACAATTCTTCACTAAAAACTGCCTACTCACAAACTTAAGCACAATGACTTTTGCTCCTACTACATCATTCCACTGGACAATGACGGGTACTAACTGATTTTTCATACCATCTTTCTATCAGTTAGCCCTAGACTCCAACACAGATCAGAGGTAATGTAAGCCGATAAAACCTCACCAGCTACAGGGGGTCATATAAGATGCCCCCATTTTCATTTTTTATTAATACACAATTTAAGAGTTTATTGTATTTACCTTAATAAATAACATGAAGATTACTTTTTAAATCCAGATGTCCATCGAATGTTTTTTATGTGGCCATACAATGTTTTTTTCAACAACTTTTTATGTAAGTAGTAAAAAACCAACTTGTTCTTTTTGTATATTTAAATTTTAACTTTCTTGTTTTTAATATTGGTATTTTTACTCTCTCTTTTAGTAAACTGATGATGGAATGATACAATTCAGAAAAGATCTTCTTTAAAATAAAAATTGTAAGCTTTTTATAAGCGCTTTTTTTATACCTTAATACACACGAACACCACGTGCTTCGAACAAATATTGTAGTCCAAAACCAACAAGTAAAATTTGAAGTATCATATTTTTTGAAACAAAAGAATTAAAACTATTACATCGGTATACAAAACTTATTTGAAATTAAGGGTGATGGTTTATTTTATTTTTTTGTTTTTGAGTTTTAAAACTATTAAATAGGTAAAAAATAAACTCTTTCCCAAACTTTTAGTTAAGAGCTGAAAATGGACTTCTGATGACTCCCTGTTACACAGCCAACTACGTGGCCCCTGAAGTGTTAAAACGTCAAGGATATGACGCTGCATGTGATATATGGTCATTAGGAGTCATATTGTATATAATGTTATCGGGAAAATGTCCTTTTAGTACAACAGCTAACGACAGTCCAGAGAAGATATTACAGAGGATTGGTTCCGGTAAAGTAGATTTACAGGTACATTAAGTTTTGACATTTCTAAATACAAAATTCTAGGTGTACTCATTAATTATTGTTGGCGTTAACACGGTGAGTTCTAAAGCATGTTTTATTAAAAGCTAAAATAACCAACATATTATAGTTGGGATATGTTATTTATAGTAAAAGAAGATATTTCATGCTAAAATTTAAATCGCACACGTGTGGAATTTTGAAAAAAAGGTTTTTATTTTTTTTTAGTTAAAAAAAAAGTATTTTGTGCTAAGGAGATTATAAAACTAGATTGCAAGACCTTCAATTTGCAATTAAATAAAAGTTTCAAGCATCTATAGAGCCAAAAATATGGCATTTTAAGCATTTTTTTTTATTTTCGAGTTAAACGCCAATTTTATCCGATTTTTATTAATGACTGTAAATTTAATTCAATAATGTGTAAATACTTATATGCATAAAAGTATTTTTTATGTTTATATTAATGTATTCACTATCAAGAATGTTTATTTAAATACAATAATTTATTTATCTATATTTTTTTATAATGTTTGTGCTACAAAGTGAACGTTACATTTTAAATATGAAGCGAGTTGTATTCACAAAGAGAATTTTTCAGTTGCTCCATATATTTTGGATTGTTTGGTTTGATAATATATTCGTTATTCCAAGTATTCTTAAAATCATGGTGAACAGCTTCAAAAGCTTGTTCTGAAAAGTATCCTAAACCGATATCATATTTACTGTACCGATATATAATCGCTGTTAATACTAGAGAGGCTTCTCAGTTCTCAGTACAAGTCTTATTCCAGAGATGCATAGACGTCAACTGCGACGTATACGCATGTCTGGTGGATTACGAGAAAGCGTTTGATCGAGTACAGCACGCCAAGATGATGCAAATACTAAAAGAAGCAGGAATTAACAACCAAGATCTGAAAATAACTAGAAATCTTTACTAGAATCAGACAGCAAATGTCAGAGTTGAAGGTGAACACACTGACTATGTGAAAATTATGCGTGGAGTGAGCCAAGGCTGTATTTTGTCTCCTCTTAAATATATTATTATTAATAATTATTAAATATTGTTGAACAATAAATGACATAAATTAAATTTTCCTGAAAATCATTTTAAAATAAAATGAATTTAGTGAATACTACCAAGTTCTTAGAAAAATACGAAAAATAAAACTCGACGACAAAGAAATAAACAAATAGACAAATACAAAAAGAAATAAACATGAATAAATAAAATACTTCAGCAACTTTTAATAAGTCTAAAAGATGATTCTGAATTTATGGCATCCACATTTGGTAACCGAATAGCAAAATACTTAAATTGTTGGACGTGTTTTGCTATTGATCTGAATGTTCAAATCTTACACCAAATTAATTTTTTTTATTTAACAAGAGTAAAAAATCTTTATATGACAATAAATTTTCTGGATGAAATGTGTCATTGAATACTGTAGTTTATTTCAAGATTTTTCAAAGACAAAAGCTCTAGTATTTTATAGTAAGTACTTTGAAAGATTCACCAAATGTTTTAAGCTGAGACCAAGTATGCTAAAAAGACCACAAAGATATTTCAATAAAAAATTCTAATCCTATTTTTCAGAGCGGAAGATTAGCCGAAATTAGTACTGAAGCCAAATTGCTCGTAACAGAAATGTTACATATATTACCCGAACGTCGTCCGACAGCTGCTCAGATAGTGAAACATTCGTGGGTGAAGCGTGCTTCAGCTTTGTATCACCAACATCACAAAAAACAACCCCACACGCCGGATACTGGACCTGCAGCACAAGAACCTCATCTGAAGGTAAACTTTTTGTAATACTTTAACAATCATCATCATCATCAACCTGTCTCTAACGTCCACTGCTAAACATAGGCCTCTCGCATGCTTTTCCACTTAGTCCGATTTTGCGCCATCTGAATCCAATTTGTAGTCACTCTCTTTATGTCATCTGTCCATCTCGTTGGGGTCGACCTCTGTTAGGTTGTATTCGGGGTCTTCATTCCAAAATTGTTTTTGTCCACCGGTCATCAACTGATCTTGCTACATGACCTGCCCAGTTCCACTTTAGGGTTGTTATCCTTGCAATAACGTCTGCTACTCCTGATCTTTTGCGTATAGTAGCATTGGGTATTCTATCACGTAGAGAAATCCCTAACATTATTCTCTCCATTGCTCTTTCCGCAACTTGTAGTTTACTGACTGTTGTTCTTGTGAGTGTTAGGGTTTCTGCGCCGTAGGTCATCACTGGCAAAATACACTGATTAAATACTTTTCTTTTCAGAGACATTGGAATTTTAGACCTAAAAATATCCTTCATCTTTCCAAATACAGCCCAAGCGAGGTTTATTCTTCTTTTCAGCTCGATTGTTTGGTTGTCTCGACTTATTCTGATTTTATGGCGCAAGTATTTATAGGAGTCAACTGGCTCAATATATTTGTCTTCTACTGAGATGTTTTTGTTGTGGACTAAATTTTTCATAAATTGTGTTTTTGAAAAATTTATTTTAAGACAATTCTTTCTGTGGCAGTATGGAGTTCTTGGAGTTATCTGTGCCTAATCAAAGCTGTTTGCAATAAGAACGATATCATCCGCAAATTTAAGGTTTTTAAAAATTTTCCATCTACATTGATGCCCTTTTCGTTCCAACCTATTGTTTTACAAGCGTATCCTAGCAAAGTTGTAAATAATTTAGGAGACATGTTGTCTCCTTGCCGAATGCCTCTTTTAATACGAAAGGTTTCAGTATCTTCATTAAGTCTTACACAGGCTGTAGCATGCTGATAGATGTATCTGATGAGGGATATGTATCGGTCATCTATTCTACATTGTGTTAGAGCTTGGAGCATTTCATTTTGATTGACCGTATCAAAGCTTTTTCAAAATCGACAAAGACAAATATCAGGGGTCTATTATATTCAATGGTTTTTTCAATTAACGACTTGATGGTTTGCAAATGATCATTTGTTCCGTACCCAGCTCTAAATCCTGCTTGCTCGCAAGGTTGATAGAAGTCTAGTTTTGATGTCAACCTATTAGTTATTAAACGAACTTTGAAAATAAGGCTATTATCAGGCACAAGTTAATTACATCTAGCCCAAGTACTTTCACTTAACATAGCATCTTCAGGGCATTTCGTCAAAATGTGAACTATCCGGCAAGCGTAGAATGTGGAAACATTAAAATTAACATAAAATTGTACAAAACACTACACTAAAACGAGGACAAACAGTTTAAAATTACTTCTACGCTACATTCTCTGTCAGTATCTGGAGGGATAATCTCTCTGTCAGTATCTGGAGGTTTACAGTTTAAAATTACTTCTACGCTACATTCTCTGTCAGTATCTGGAGGGATTATCCCTCCAGATACTGACAGAGAATGTAGCGTAGAAGTAATTTTAAAGTGTTTGTCCTCGTTTTAGTGTAGTGTTTTGTACAATTTTATGTTAATTTTAATGTTTCCACATTCTACGCTTGCCGGATAGTTCACATTTTGACGAAATGCCCCTGAGGATGCTATTTTAAGCGAAAGTACTTGGGCTAGATTTAATTAACTTGTGCTCGATAATAGCCTTATTTTCAAAGTTCATTTATTCGAGCATTCAACCTCATTTCATTTATTAGTTATTATCTTCATAAACAACTTATACATGTGAGATAACAAGCTAATAGGTCTATAGTTCTTTAGCTCCGTTATATCTCCCTTTTTGAAAAGCATAAGGCTTTTTGAAAGGCATAAGTTATATAATTGTGTCAATGCTTTCAATACTGTCTTCCCTCCTGCTCTAACTGCCTCAATAAAGATTTGGTCATCACCAGCTGCTTTATTGTTTTTCATTCGATTTAATGATTTTGAGACTTCTTCAATTGTTATTTCTTCGATATCCTCTGAACCCACATTCTGGACTTTTTTCAACTTGATGCCGTCTTTCTTACTATATATTCTATGTAAAATTCTTCAACTACCATAATTATCTTATATTTGTGTGTTTGGTACATACTAAGGCAAGTTTTCACCAAATTTCGTAAAAAATATTTTTGTAAAAGATAAAAATAAAAAACCAAAAATTTAGTTTTTTTAATTTTCCACAAAAATTTTGAGATTATGTGAAAAAAGTGTAAATACAAAAGTTGTAAATATTACAACTTTGCTATTTAACTTTTTTCCATAGCACTTGTAGTTTCGCCGAAAATCGCAATAAACCTATTTTAACCCTTAAAAACTCACCCCCTCCCACTTCCCGGCCTCAGATGAAGTGGAATTTATTTTTTCTTCCATTTTTAGCATATTCTCTTCCTTTTCCAATATATTTCATTCTACTATAATTTTTTTTGGTTTCAAAAATTCTCGACTCTGGTCTATTGCTATTCTGCCTTCGTAAGAGAAAGTACCGTATCTGCAAAATCTTAGTTTTAAGAAAACATTAAAAACGTGTTTTTTTTGTATATTGTCCTAGTTTATGTTCTAACGACTTTTAAAATATAATATATCTAGAAATTTTGGGATAAAAAAACTGTTGGAAATAATTTTTAAACTGTAATTTTTTTCCTAATGGTTTAAAATGCACTTAAGGCGTTTAAAGTTACCATAGAATACTTTTTAAATTTGTTAAATTTAAAGAAAAAAACGTAACTGCAAAAAACAATACTTACGGTATTTAAAGCTAAAATAAACTATGTATTAAGAAACTATTTTTGGTTTAGAAACGTTGGTTATATGTAAATCTTATCATTAAAATAAAATAGATTAGGCAATTTGGTTTTCAACAAAATATATTAAATTATGAAACACTTAACTTCTACATTCTTTAAAATTATTATAACATACAGTATACAGTTTGACTAAAACATCTTTATTCAAAAATTTGAATTAAATCATTGGCCCTATCTGAAACTGGAATATTTTCCCAAAACTTGAGGCGGTCTTTTGGCATGACAGATGATAAATTTTTTAAAATATTATCACGCTTTGAAGTGGGTATTCCCCGATTTGTTGTATATTTTTCAGGCTCCAATATTAGATGCTTATTTTTGGCCGATGACATTTTCAACAAAATTAACTGCCTAAGTTCGTCATCCAAAAAACTATCTCTGTATTCTACATGAAGAAAGCCACGGTTTGCAACAACTTCCACAATATCTGGTATATATACTCTGGATTTTAATCTATTTAAAACTGTCTTTGAAGAATGGTCTTTTCAATTGTAAAAATCTGAATATGCCATAGATTTTGTTATGACTTTTCCGGAGTTGGCTTTTGAAACTGCAGATTCAAAGTCTCGAAAGTCGTAGGTTTCTTTTTTGTTTTTTAAAGCGTTTTCAACCTAGTGGTGGAAATTGTCAGCAGACATGAAAGTGTGGCCAGATTCAAAGTATTTTAATGTTATTTTTTCGGTACTAACATGATCAGAATTTATTAAATAAACAAGATATGAAAATAAAGCCCAGTTCTTGTTTTGGCAATGTGCTTTTGATCGCGATGGTAAAGGAAAAACTGAAAATAGGTGCTAATTATCTCTTCCTTTTTATGTCCTGCAGTAGTTTCGTGCCATATAACTGCAAAAGGTTTTCCTTTAGAGTTTTTTCCTATGGGTACAAAGCTTTCGTTAAAAGCAATTATACGTTATGTAAAGAGAACACTTTTGAACATCTCGAGGCGTGGCAACATAATGACTTTTTGTAAGTCTGCGGAAAAAAAATTGTTGAGGAATCGATGGATTTTTGAACATCATCTCTGTACATCTGATGGGCAGTATTGACACGTTTAATATATTTATCCCATTTTTGACAGTTTTTGCATTCTGGATACAAATTTTCTTGTGAATGTGCATCATTATGTAACTTACAGCTTTCACATATTTCACATTCTTCGTTACCGAGATTTGAAAACGAAATGTTTTTTTTTCCTTAACTACAACATTTCTATAAAGTTCATATGAATGTGGGATTACTTTGCACAAAGTCAGAGTGCATGTCTTTTATTGTTATATCAATCGGTAGATACAGTTTGTTTGGGGCGTGTTCTCGCCAGTAATGCGACACGCATGGATGATATTTTTGAATATGATCATATATGGATTTTCGATCAACTTTTTTGTGTTTAGGTTGTAAGCCTCTTATATGTCTTATTCCTTCTAAAGTCTTGAGTTAATGTATTTGCGGTCCTTCTTTTTACATCCATTTTTTTTTGTAGTATGAAGAATAAATAGCCTTCTTGCTGTCCAATCCTGATTCCAAAATTCTTCATTAATCAACTTTCGTCGATCCTCAGTTATTTTTCTGCTACACTTTCTTTTGTAAGACTCATTGCACGGGGGTCTAAGTTTATGGTTCTCTTTGTTTTTTGTATTTTTTTTTGAGCGTATTACGTCCTTTGGCTCCCTTTCTTGTTTTATTTTTCTTTTTCGTGGCTTTCCTTTTTTTGTAAGTTCCATATTTTCTTGATTTTCTACATTATTTTCACCTTCATTGCCTGTATCTGTTTTCCGTTCATTTTCATCATCTTCAGGCAATGCATCACCTGGCTCAAAATAATCTTCAGCTGATTTAGTAAATGCTTGATCATCTTGGTTTTTATGCTTGGCTTCGGTACTTTTGTCACAAAATTCTACCTCTGAATCTGAAAACAAATCTATGGCTCCCAGTAAACTAGTGTCGCATTTATCTTCAACAACTGTTTCAATTATTATTGGAATTAGGTCTTTATCTGGCTCTTCGAGATTTGGCACGTTTACAGGCGGTGTCAAGATTGTAGTAATAGGTTTTTCTTCATTGCAGTATAGCGGCATTAAATTTTGAAATATTTGTTTTTCTGGTTCACTGCTTTTAGAAGGCTCTTTCATAGATGATGCATCCTTAATATTTTCAATGTTCTGGAAATCTGAACTTTTGTGATTGATGTTGTGTTTTTGCGTTCCAATTTTCGTAACAACAGTTTGAATATTATGAACATTACCTGCAACTTCATTTTGATTTTCATTTGCGAGGCACAGTATCTTTCTAGCTCGCTGCATTCTTAAACGAAGTGAGTAACTGAAAAAAAAACAGGTTTTATACTTACTATTTTTTGTATAACTCGTTTTTGTAAAATAAGAAAGTCAAATCCCAGTTTACAGTATGTATAACGAAAGTTCAACTTCGCGTCATAGGTTGACTTTCTCGCTTTTTATATGTAAACCAGACGAAATAAAGTTTTGACCTCTTAAATGTAGTTCGATTCTAGATCGATATTAATGAAGGCGATCGAACAGCTGATTTTTTCACTTTAGGTTATGACGTTTGGTAGCTGCTAGCAGTAAAGACATGCCCCAAAATCCTTATGTGATCATTATTATGACGCAACGTTGAACCTCCGTTATACTAACAGACCTTACATATTTACATAAAGTACACGTTTATTTTTCGCAATAAAAACCCACACCAAACTACTTACTTTACCAAAGTTAATAATTGAAATAACTTTAATAATGATTTCTGCGACCCAAAAAAAGGCAAAGAACTTAATTTTCTAATTTTTTATTTTCATAATAATAAGTGGTTACTTACCAGCAATATTTCTGATCGATAATTGTAACTTTTAAGTTACACAAACTAACAAAATACTGAAAAAGTTGCCCAAACAACACAAAAAACATAGATTAGAACAAGTCAACGTGGTTTTAAAGGCACTGACAACGCGACGCACCTTACGGGACGGCTATCAAATGAATTCTAAATTACTGACTTATTTATTAAACACCCCCGAAATCGGATATGAATATGTAGCTTAAAATGCCGTAACTACTTCGCGCGAATGCAGTTACGGTTTTTTAGGCTTGTAACGCGCTGTAAGGCTTTCTAAGCTACAAACGTCTCTAATAATGTATGTATGAATTGTAAGATAGAAACTGGATAGTTGTAGATACGGCAATATAAACGAAATTTGCCGGATACGTTTGTTTAAGATATGAAATCGAAAAATAACGTCATATTGTCAAAAACGTATGTGCATTTTGATAAACTTGCGATGCAGATACGTTTTTTTAACATACACCAGTCGATTCCGCATACCTGAAATACCCATAAAAGTGTGGTTTTAACTAAAATTTAAAAATGCAGATACGGCACTCTTTCTTACGACGGCAGTATTAAGTTAAGTTTAATTAAACAATAATACTTATTCTATTTAATATTTAAGGAGGCGGTCGCTGCAACCTTCAGAGCAATAGCAACTTCACCTCAAATAGCTCATCTTGGTCCTGTAGCCATGTCAGAACTGGCTAGGAGACGGTTTAGGGATAAGGCTCTAAATCGAGTAAGGGAATCCAGGAAAGAGGATTGCGTACCGTGAAAAGGTATTTCGGTTCAACAATTGTTTCATCAAACTAAACTTTGTTTTATGAATATGGTACACTTGAAATATTAAAAATGCATTTGAAAGATTAGGAAGCGTATTGAAGAGATTCACTTCAACTCTATTACTAGTACATTTTATGTGGCGCTTTTTTATTACTTCAGTTATTTGATTTCTTAATGTTCAACCAAACTAGTACCACAATGATTGTATACAATAAACTAGTATTATACATTTTTATATAACTGTATACATGGTTCACAAGTACAAATAAACTACATCTGAATCCACATACATACGATGTTTTAATCTAGCTTAATGTTTGTCGACTGACTCTAATGTCTATTAGATTTGTTTTTCTATATTTATGCGCAGACATAAAAGAAGCAAATCTTCTCTTTTCACCTAGGACAGCTATACGGAGTATGTCCCAAAAGTATCCGATCTTCGTTCATGACTTTATAATGTTTTATTCGTCGCCGTCTAGCTCGTGGCATCCTACTAAGTAATTCCCATTCGATTTAAATACACACTCCAACGGTTTTTGTAGTAGCCTTCAGTAATGGCTCCACGGCGTTGTGAGGTTGCCTTTTAAGCAGCATTTTAAGTTTTATAATTATGAATTAGTCGCATGAGGCTGTATCAAAAACTGTTGGGATGTTAATATATACAAGATTAATGCATTATGATGATGAAGAAACCATTTGCCACTCGCGCTCGCGATTGTATTCGTGATGGGCACTTTGTAATGATCTTTTTAACGATATTGTTATCATTACAATTCTTTTTTGCTCACATGTAAGCATTTTTGGAATAAACTTAACATGCACGCGAGTCATTCACAAATTGTTGGTTAAAATTCTCGAAAATCAAATGTGCGGAACTCGAAGACAGCTTTTTAAGTCATGAATCATGCTTTTATCTATGTTTTGCTCATCATTCATCTCTAAAAGACTTTTGCATCCATTGATTAGTTTCTGCTTAACTTTTTTAGAATTTAAAACGAAACTTTAAATGCAACTGCGTTGTTCCCTCTTTCTGTCATTTTCAGTTATAAGGAAATGTAACGGACGCAAAAAAAGGACTATAAAGAAAAGCATTATATTACAAATATAGAGGAGAGTAGAGCAACATGCTTTGCCTCACCCTGCTCTATATTTATTTGAAAAAAGTATATCTAAACTATATTCATTTAACAGAAAAGTAGCGGTCAACAAATGCATGCACAGAACACGTGAAATCTGATGTTTATATAATCGTACAGGGTTGTATTAAGATTCTAGTAATCTATAAAATCTGAATTTGAAATGAATGAATTTATAATTTTTAGGATTGCTGTTAAAATAATAGTAATCAATGATTAATCTTCCAAAGAAGTTAACTTAAATATTAGTTTTTGTAAACCGTCATTCACACATCATTAGTTAATTGTGGTATTAATCAAAAGGCAAAAATTAGAAAGTTATTTTATACATTTTACGCTTTAAGACCAATATTTGGAAATAAGTAATAATATTATCATTAATGATATAAAAAGAGACCTCTTCTTGTGTAAAAGTTAGGGAAAATACTTATACATATATTATTGGGTAGATAGACTTATACAGTTAACATTACATTTACATTAATAAATAAAATTTATTTTCGGAGTTTCGATTTCGATTTAACATTTATTTGTCTCAGCAGAAACGAATGTGTATTTAGAAGAATTGTGACGTCACTATTTTTGACTTTAATGCCGGTTATGTCGAAGATGGTTCGAGATATCAAAATGCCATTTTCAGATTTTGATTCAGGAGACAAAACAAAGCGACAACGCACAAACGGATACTTACATACTTGTCGGATGTAAAACGAAAGTTTTACATGTAATGTTTTATATGTAATAGTAAAAAAACTTTTTACTATTACATATAAGTAATATCGAATTACGAAAAATAAGTACTGGAAAACTACCTAGGTACAATGAGTAAAATGGGTTACAGCTTTTCATTTTAAAAATATTCCATTTTGTGTATGTAATTTCGAATAATTTCGTATCTTTTATTTATCATTGCTACTCATTTCCACCTCAAAAGCTAGATCCACCTTTAACCGGATGGGGGCCTTCTTTAAGAGCCACAATCTCTCTCTTGGTATAAAAGAAAGAATGTTGCAATACATCTTCTCTGTTCTTTTTTGTGGTGTTGAATCGTGGACCTTGAACGAAGAGATGTGCAGAAAATTGGAAGCATTTGAGATATGGCTATATCGAAGAATACTTAAAATCCCATGGACTGACCGAGTCACTAATAAAGAGGTCCTCAGAAGAATGAAGAACCGAGAGGTACTGACCACCATCAAAGCTCGAAAGTTACAATACTTTGGACACATTATGCGAAATAAATCCAGATATGCCCTTCTACAAGCCATTATGCTAGGATAAATATTTAGACAACGGGGTCCAGGAAGAAGAACGTCCTGGTTTAAGAACCTCAGAACTTGGTTCAACACAACATCTATGCAGCTTTTCCGCGGTTGGAGATAAGGTGAAGATTGCCATGATGATCGCCAACGTTCGTCACCGATGGCGCGTTTTTTTATGTGGTTTCCCCGGTAGCCCTAATCCACAAATACTTAAACTTAGTGCAAAATATTATTTCGAGGAACTTTTGGTTTCACTGGATGTAAGCGGAAAACTTCTTATTGCCGATATCTATGTTACTGTGTTTTAACAAAACAAACTCGTTGATTTGCCTGAGGATGAGGCAAATATTGTAAGCCTCGAAATCGGTCGCTGGATGTAAGCGGAAAACTTCTTATTGGCAATATCATATTATTGTTTTTTAACAAAACAACCTCTTTGCTGGGCCTGAGGATGAGGCAAATATTGTAAGCCTTAAAACCGATCGCTTCTGTAAAACTTTGAAAGTAAATATTAGATTGTGAGTATTGACCTTTTTAATATATCTGTTCAATTATGGACTCACACTTGCAACCCGTTTATCATCATAATAGATAATTATTATAATAGAGTCAAAACAATATTAAATTTACTAAGTTGATAGAAAACAGCAAACACCTTAAAAATGTTCACAGTTCTAAGTTTATTTAAATTACACTATAATTATAAACCAACACTATAATTATACTAACACACACAGAGCTATAAGTAAAAATTATATTTATATAATTAAATTCAACAGACATAAATGTGATTCGTAAGGATTACTGAATCCATATCTGTTAAAACTGCAAATTAAGCGTTTTTGTTTAGAGGTGTAGATTGTCGTTACTTGTGAGTTTCTACTTGTTACTTTTGATATTATATATAATCAGTTATAGTATAAGTAATTTTGTAAAAAATATATACCTCTTCAGCATCTCTAGATTTTGGGAATGAATTGATCACGCGTCCCTAGTGTTTATATTCTACTTTTCTGTTAGGCGAATATAAGTATACAGTTAAAAATAACATTATTTTTGGCAAACTCTAAAGAAGTCGTTTTACATCATGCTTAGGGTAAAATGGCCCCGCCGATTAGGTATAATGACTTGTATAGTTATTTTGTACAGAAAAAGTAATAAAACATTTCTATTTACAAAAATCGCAAACATACAATTTCTGCTTTCCAGTTACACCTGCACACAATAAATGCGGCCATTTTTTGCACAAATTGTACTCAATACAAATCTCCTTCGTCTGCGATTTACTGAATAATTCCGTGTAAAGTATACAGGCGGTGTCGTCTTCATCATCATCAAATCTCCGATTTTCTTTCTTTTCTCTATACACCTTGCTGCTTACAGCTTTCCTAGCCGTTTGTGAAGGAGGCTTTGGTGTTTTTTGTTTTTCTTTCATAAACAAAATGGTTTTAGGGTAGAAACAGTTGATCCTTGCGAAAATCTTGAATTCCTTGTCTGAGGAGGTGCCTGAGATAGTGGATATATATGTGTGTAGTTACACAAATATCCTATAGACATGATGGAATTTCATTGTTTTAACGCCATCTTTCTATTCTGAAGTGCTATTTATAGTAACAAAGTGCTTCGTACATAGATGGTGCTAGTAGTGCTGATTATAATAAAGATTAATGACGGTTTTATGAAAATTATGAGAAATATGTTGGGGATCTATTTTACCCGACTTACCCCTACACTCCCGTCGATAACTGCGGCATACACCAAGATCGTGAATTACTCTCAGTCTATGATGGGGGCATCAAAACGTTTTGGCACGAATTTATGAACTAAGGTCGGCTACTTCGACTATTTAGGACATAAAGTAAGTTGTTAAGATTTAACGGATTCACCTTTCTCTATTTATTAAAACACATTTTAAGTAATTGAATTTGTATTGTTGGCTTAAAACTAATTGAATTATATAAATATTTTTATTTATAAATAAAGAACCATAATTTCAAGTGTATTATTTCATAAATGACCGTTCTTTTATTAGAATAGCAGAACATTTTATCAAAAACGTATTGTAATTGTGATAATTGCAAATTAAAGGTACGAAAGGTTTAAAGTACACCTAATTGTTTATTTCTAGTCTTTAAATAAGTTTAGTTTTAGACAAAAAATGACTATCAGTAAGTGCCAAATTAATAATTTAAATTCTTAAAGAGTTTATAGTCGTGGTTATTAATTTTATATCGGTGTTTTTGCAAAACTCTTTAGTTCCTACATACAATAGATGTTTCTGCTTGTCTAAAAACTTACCTGTATTTCAAACTTATTGTGACAGGTGGTAATTTATCCCATTAAACTATTCAATAATATATTTAACTGATACTCCACGTTAGTATGACGTAACGTTTTAATGTTCATTTTAAAACACCTTATTTTGTTTCTACTATCATATATTTATGTTTACATGTGCAAAAACTAATACAAAAAAATGCTTTCAAATAAATTAAAATGTATGCTCATAAATGTTTTCAGATGTTTTAAAGCAAAGGAAAGATGAAACAATACAGTTTTGCGATATTGGGCCCCTTAGGGCACCTAGGAAGCCAAAAATTTGGCTAAAGGCGTTTCTAAATATATATTATCTAAATATATACTATAATAGATTCATAATAGACATTTTTGTTTATAAAAAGTATTATTTACATACATTTTAACCATTGTTTACATACAATTGTTTCTGTTCTTGCCACAGACATAAGGACACTTGCCACAATTTTTTTTACAGTTGTTACACAAATCACTGGTTTTGATATAACAAGAGGATGTTTTGCACTTTTTTCTTTCTCTTTTCCCCATTTCTCTAGAATTTGGATGCACTCAATAGGCTTTCTTGATTTGCCGATGAACCTGTGTTCGTTAGGCCCGTAGTTAGTTCTTCTACGAGATCCAAGATAAAAATTTGCGACGTGAAATTTTCTTGTCCGTGACAGCTTTGTAACGAGACCGGACATTGATTGCAGTTAAATCCAATAAATTATAAAAAACTTGCAACGACCACCGTCTTGAACTTGCTTTTACCGTGTACTTCTTTGCCATTTGATCGACACCAAATTTAGCTTGATTATAAAATTTTATAATTTCTGGCTTTTTATTTCCTGCTTCTTCGACTGCTACTGACGAGTGACGTGTTGAAAATAAAATAACGTTTTTATTTGCTTTACCTTTGTAACCAATTGCAACGCAGTTTTTATACTTGAAAGCTTTTATTAAAAACAGCTCATTCTTATTTTTCAAGGATTTTTGTATTTCTCTTCGAATTTTACGAACTGTTTGCCACAATTGTTGTATTATTTCGTTCTAGCTCTTGAGTAAGATGGATAAAAGTAAAAAAATTATCAGTTATTAGATTTCGTCCTTTTTTAAGTAGGGTTTCATCAGCTTCAACACTACATGGTCAGAAAGTCTTTCATTTGCGGGACGAGTGCCATCTTTTCCTAAATACGGAAAACCATTAAGGAGATATCGAGATAATCTACATCTACAGCCAGCCAGAACTTGATTCCCAACTTATCGGGTTTTTTAGCCATGAATTGTATAAATCTGCACCCCGCCTTTGTCGCCAAAAATTTGTTTATCAATTGTTATGTTTTCGTTAGGTATAAAACATGATTGATAATTTAAAATAAATCGCTCCCAAACCTCTGAAATTAGGCAAAATTTATTGATCTGAAGTCTTTGGCGTCTGATTGACCGGATGTCAAAACGTATAAATGGCATTATTTTTAAAAATCTATCTCGAGACATTGTCTTTGAAAACAGGTCTCCACTTTATTGACCACAAGCTCTTCAAACTAAAACTGTTTTGCCCTAAAATTCCACGAGCATACAAAAGCCCGACAAAGCTTCAATTTCTTCTAGTATAATAATTTTTGTTTTTGTCTAGATGTGGGTCCAGAAGGGTCCTTCAGAATATTTCGTTTAGCTGCTCTACCTCCAAGAGAAGTGTTCAGATTGATTTTTTCCCACACAGCACCATCAGCAGATGTTTCTGCATTAATGATAGATGTCCAAGGATGTAAAAGATCTTCATTATCACAGGCTTCATTATCAGAGTTATGAGTGCTCTCATCACTGGAGCTTCTCGAAGGCGGTTGAAAATTTTTATCGTAACTGTTATCGCTGCCAAAATTAGTTGCTTCAACTTCCGCATTCTCTTCATTATTTCCTAGAACATCTTGAACGTTAGATTCAGTGTTAGATAATTGTTGTATTTCTGTTAAATAATCCAAGTTTGATGCTGAGTAAGACCACGACCACAACTTGACCACATTTTTGAAAATCAATCTAATAACAGACTATAACCGACGGCTTTTAGACTAATACTGCACAAAAATGCCAAACTGACAATAACTTAAAGACAAATCCTAGAATTAATATTCTTGGAAAATTATATTGCCAATTGAACGAAATTTCCACGTAAAAGTATTTACTACTTGTTCTTCTACGAAGTTCCTACGTAAAAGTATTTGTGGAGTAACCCACATAAATCGATTCGGGCCAAAATGGCCATTTGTCGTCCATCTAGGGACATTATTTCGTAATAGAAGAATTTTAGAAAAACTACCAATGTATAGAACAGTTTAGTTTAGAAAAAGTCAAAAAACTACAAAGATCTCCTTTAACTAATTGAAAAGATATTAAACTTTGAAAAAGCAAATTTATGTTCACCACCACCTCCAAATGTCAAAATGACCACGTCCGTCTTTCTAGTTTTAGCACGACTTTTTCGTGCACAATGCCAATTTATTATCATTCACCCGGCCACTTTTAGGTCGAAATTGTCCATGTTTGCTTTTGGAGACAATAAATTTACTTATAGAACCATTATTGACCTCTTCTTTCATGAAATTATTTACATTAAATATTAAATATTATTTCATGACTTTGCGGATTCCAATTTTAAGCTTCATAACTAATTAAAATCCATTACGAGAATTTGTTGCTTTAACTGTACTTCGGATATACACTAAAACACGTTCGAAAACAAACAGGTTGTTCCCAATCCTGGCCCATCAAAATCCACTGCACATCTCAAGGTCAAAGTCAAAGTGAATTTGGGCATTGTCCGTATTCCGGTCCATTCTGAAACAAATCATCCATGAACCTCGTTCATGGCCAAAGTTATTGCAATAAAACGTTATATTAATGTATTTGAAAGTGTGAGTTAGTACATACAATAGTTGATATTTAGTAAATTCTTTATAGTCTTTTCGAAACCTTATTTGCTCATCAAAATGATCTGCAAATTGTTATGAAAAGTTATATGAAGTTTGAAATTAATATACATATTTCAAAACAAATGCTCGAAAAAAAAATGAATCATAAAAAGATTATCTACTTTGGTTGAGGTTACCGAAAGTACAAACTGAATATAGCCGCAAATGTCAACAATGAAATTTTCCGGTTTGGCAGCGTTGATGTTTTATAATGAGAGAAAGCTTTTAAAAAGTACATTTGGTTATACTATTTTATGAATTCTGCAATTTTTAATTTATATGAAACAATAACGAGTATTGCATTGGGTAAGAGTATTGTATATAACTGCTGCAGCCTGGAAACTGCTGATTTGACGATTGTCAAACATTGACATTTGCGGTTATAATCAGTTTGTAGTTATTAAAAGTATTAAAAACGACTGTTAGAAGAAAAATAATAAATACTTTTAACTATTTTACTGATGCAAAAACTAGTTCGACTCTGTCTTGCTACGAAAAAGCACTGAAAAGAATTAAATCTTCTCGGCAGCAATTATATTACTGATTCCATCGTTTCGTTCGTAGTTTGATTTCACCAAATGAGTGGGCCACATTCAAGACATTTTGAACTGAGTCTACCTACGTCAACAAAACATTACTGCGTAACGTTATGAATGATGTGGAATATTATATAATTTGCAAATTAACAAATCTGGCTTATAATAACACTTAATAATTTTCCTGAAACTTTAAAACTACCCTTCGTACCTTCATTTTGTCTACTTTTAATAAAGATAATCCTTAAATCATAAAATTGAAAACATAAATATAATAATTTTTGTGTATTTATTATTGTATACATTTATAAAATAAATAAAAATAGGGTTAAATATTTTTTCATTTTATTTTTTTCTCAAAATTTATTTTACTCCAATCCCTGTAAAATGATAGTACAAAATAACAATAATAAAAGCAGGTGAAAACAATGAATGATTGACGGGAATATGTGAATACAAATTGATGCAGAAGTCGTTACAGAACTTTAATCATTTTTAAAATAATCGTTTTCCCAAGATTTAACGCCATGTTATAACGTCATTATTCTATACACGTGGTGCTACATGTATGAGAGATTAGAAACTGAGACAACAACAAACAAGAATAAGGTGTCTTAAAAGAAAAAAAATTCTAAAATAAACAATGTTCTATAAAATAATAGGTATGATTATAAATCTATTATATATTAATATAATATTAATAATAATATTAATATATATATATATATATATTAATATATTTATATATTAATAAGTAGAATATTTTATTTTCGCAATGTAATAAATTGCAAAGTGAAAAGCAAGATAAGTGTATAAAGTATTCATCTATAATAATCCTTTTAAATAAAAAAAATAGAAGTTATGTAAAAACATAACTAGATAACTAAATAAAAAGTTAAACAAGTGGATTCATATTAAATAAAACATGTATACAATATTAAATAAAACTTTCAAAAATCACAAATACACTCTAGTAATATTAATATTCTCAGTAACCCGTTATGACCCATTCATATTTTTTTGTAATTTATTAAACTAGACTGTCTTCATATGAAAAGTATAATTGCAGTCAATACACATGCCGACATCACATTTGCTACACATTGTTCGAGTACTACTGCTACACCCCTCTCCTACACAGCGACGTAGGCGATACCTTAATTGTTGTTAGGTATAAATATTAAAAGGTGATTGTTTCCATCGTACCTTAGCTTGTCTGAGATTCTATTAAGCGAGACACTAAATTTCGAAGAACTGGGTCTTCCTCCATGCTTTGGAACATTTGTATATTTTTTAAGATATGACAGCAATACATCTTCTAAAATCTAATTGGGAAATCTTGGGGTAGTGGTGCTTGTAGAGTATCCAGCTGTTACTAATACTTGCACCAATAAGCCATGTGAAGATACACCAGTTCTTTGAACGGATAATATTGTTATTTTTGGCAATGATTTGCGGTCTTGGAATTTGCACATATATTTTTTTCTTTTTTGCTATATCTACGCACGGTTCCCACAGGCGCAGCCCCATAAGCTGTAGATGCAGCAGCCACAACGTTATTGTCTAACCACTTTATGAAAAGAATACCATGATCGCTGTCGATACATAAAGCAAAACTACCACGGTCTAAATTTTTCAATTCTTTTTTTCTCGGTAGTGGATAAGTTTTAGGAATTCTGTCATCCCTAAAGGTTCCCGTAATATTATATCCTTTTAATTTTAAGTAGTTAAATACGTTTATATTAGTGAAAAGATTATACACATAGAAATGATAAGGATATTCTTTATTTGGTATCTGCTCCAACATTTTATCAGCGGACTGGTAGGTTTCCAAAGGTTTCCTTAACTTTAGTGTGTAATATCTTTTTGTTTACCTTGGTAAAATTCAAAATCTAGAAGATATCCATTGTAGCATCTTGAAACCATTTGGTTTCAAGATGCCCACATCTTGAAACCACATCTAATTGGTTTTGCTTTTATAAATATCTTCCACCCGTGCTTGCCAAAGTATCGAATCATTGACTAATTGTAAGACAGCTGCTCAACGATAACAAAATGTCTATGACAAGAGTTTAAAGAGTTTGTCATTAGCATCTACTTTGAAGTTATCTGCGCAGTGTATACATCGCATTATCTGAATGAATCCTTCCGGTCTCATGGCATTATAAACTGCATCATTTCGCATTTCAGGCTGTATGTCCCAAAAATGTCGCTTGCTAGGTTTGCAATGGCATCCACTCACGATTTAAATGGCAATGAAACATCAAATTTCTTCCGCCTTAATTCGAGGATCTGAACAGTTTTTAAAACTGGCATACCTTCTTGTTTCTGCTACTAACATCTGGATAATATTATCATCTAACATTTTTTCAAACAGATCAACAGGATCTTCGATATCTTTTTTATTACTTTGCACAGGAAAAGGTCGTGCATGTGACGGAACTAAATCACAATTTTCGTTCCAGTTCCTTCACAGATTTTACTGTTAAGCTTAATTTTTTTCCCTCTCTTCCTGCTTTTCAAAATTCTCATTTTCTATAGTTTCTCCGTCTCTATTTTGTTCGGATGCATCATCTGAAAGAGCTTTGTCATCATCGCCATCTCTATATTTTTTAAATCTAATTGCCACTTTGGACAGAAGTTGACGGCCAGTTAGATTGTCTAAAGTGCCTCCCTCATTCTCATTTCCTGAATCCCGATCCGTTAATTGACTGGCATCCGGAGCATCAATGAAGATTTCATCGGCATCATTTATGCTAATTATTTTTCTTCTTGTAGAGTTAAACCTCGTCTAGAAAGAAATAAAGAGTATTAATACTTATTTCAAGTACTCTACAATTCAAAGCTGTTTTTATCAAACATACACAAAGTGTTTTATATAAATTTTAACAGAAAACAACAAAAAAGCATTATTTAACAGTGTTCTTTGTAAAAATATCATGCATTTTACTATAAAAATAAGATTTTTGTAACACTTACTCGAAACGAATGTTGCTAAATTATATCTGATTCATACTGCCAGTTATTCACTAACTAAAATAACTATCAGCGTGGCTTTGCACAGAATGCGTTTTATGTTTGTTTTTAATGCCTTACACCACCATCTACGTGATTATAGCCAAACTGAAACTTCACGTACAGTTTTCTAAGTACCTCTGCAAGCGTCACATAACAGTAACACCAGGTCATAATGGGTTAATCTATCAAAAAAAAAAAAAATAAAATTTTATTATTGGTTTTACAAGTCACTTGAAATTTTTTACATTGATACTTGTAATAAATTGTAAAAATTATCTAGACAGATTTTTAGCAAACTTTTCAGTCTTTTCAATAACGCACTTTAATAAATTATCATTTTCTAGAAGATATTTTATCATTTTATAGAATTCCATCGCAAAATTATTTTGCCTTTGCTCTTACGAAATCTCTTTTAACTTTATTTATTTTGTCTTAATGCTAATATTAAACTCTACTTTTATATGTACGTATTTTAAAACAGAAATGATGTATCTCCATATGTTATTGACTTACTAATAATGGCATTTTCTTTTGTTTGATTTTTTTTATTATTGATAACCAGATCCTACTGAATTCTGACGAGCAATTTATATATTTCTGGGCAATTCTTCACTAACGATATATTATTAGGTATTCTTGGCATGACACAGCGTATTTAGTAAATTTATTAATGGAATATTTGAATTAATTAACCTCAAACACATCAAAATACAGTTCCCTGGTACTCCACATTTTCAGAATTATAAATTTTGTTATAAGTATTTATTTTTCTCTCATTATTAACTGTTTAAATGGGAATAAGCCACAATAAAAGGTTAAAGTAAGTTTATTGACGTTTCCATTTCCAAATATCATAATATATTTCCATCTCAAAATACAAACATTAGTAAATTAAACAAATTTTGTTCTCTCTTATTGACAATTCAGAGATATATTATACATTTTAAAGTAGACATAATATATATAGATAATGTATATCTGTTGAAATAATTATTAATTTGACATTAGTAGTTTTACTTTCAACATATAGAAGGTTCCACGTGTTTGGAGCAATGGCATCGAAACTGGCGTGTCAGATTTAAATTACATTAAAAAATTATTTGTTAAAAATTGTTTATTCGATAATAGCGATTTAAAGGATTATCTTATTCTTTGGTTGACTAGTAGAAAAATACTCTAGGTGTTCTAATTAAATTGTATTTTTATGTAAACTAAATGCATTGTGTCAAAATTCTAAATTATGTAACGTCATTAAGAGTTTGTTTTGTGTTTGTTACAAGTACATATTCATTGTTTGTTTAATTTAGAGTTAATAAGTTTCTTAAGTTTAAACTGTCGGAAATTGTGATCATAACATAAAGTATAATTGCCAATTAGTCCATTTATAGTCTCTTAGTATGACATTTGAAAAGATATAGTTCGCCACTATGACGAACATTCCAAGGTCCTAAACCACATATCTTTATTTCCTTTTACATGTTTTAATGGCCCTCTCTTTATTGCTAATGTATATAGCAACGTCTTGTTTCTTGTCAGGTATCCAATTTCCCTTTGTTGTTTTTGTTTCGTTTTGATACTATTAGTATATCTGCCCCGGTTTCCTCCCCTCTTAATGTAAGTATATCGTGTGTCGCCCATCTCCCCTTTGCCTATAAAATTGCATCCCTTTAAAATCTACGAATGGGTTGAATTTGACGGTATATTTCCCCTCTTTTTTGGGTTCCTGTTCTTGTATTATTGCTATAATATTAGTTACACTTAGGACATTCTTCTGTTCTGTGACTCTTTACATATTCTACAATACGATTCATTTTGACAGCTTTGAACATTTTCTCCTCGTTTCCAGCCAATTTAAACATCTGTCTCCCCTTTTTTATCCTTATAATTTGCTCTTGTATGCCCAAAATGTAGACAGTTATAACATCTTCTGGGTCTATGCTTTGACGCCACTATTTTACACGTGGTTGGTCCCATTTTGATCCATTTGAAAACAGTACCTAGATTTCTAATAATCGTTTCTTTCCAAGATTCTTTTACATAAAAGACTACTGCTCGTTGGTTTTACGGTCACATTTATATTACAACTGTATCTTTTAAAAATATTTTGAACCAAATCTATAACATTATACTGAAATACTGATGGTAAAATTCATAATTAAAAAGGAAAAGACAGATAAGATTTGATTTCACGGATAGGACGTCTGTGTATCTGCTTATACGTATTTCGGTCTAATAGCCCTCTTCAGGACGGCAATTTACAGTCGTTCTGAACGTGAAAATAAATCTCTTCTGTCTTAAGAATCAACTCTAACATGGCTT